GTCTGAGAGGCATTTCCTCAACCTGTCAACTGCTCTCTTTCTAAACAGCAGTGGTTTCACGAGTCAAACTGTGACAGAGCAAACTGGGAAAACCGTCAGTTCCCTGCTGCTGCATTTCCATTTAAAACACAGCCTCCTTTGAGGGTCTGCTTGACTGACGGTCAGCCAGCACACACCTGAACACCCCACAGACACGTTTAAACGCTCCGCAGCTGAAGAAGCAATAGGTGGCTTCTTTAGAGAGTCACTTCCTCCTCATCATTCATAGGTTTGATTATTCTGCCTCAGCTACAACTTCCATTTACTCCAGCCTCCTCCACTTTGAGCAGAGGCGGATTTTTTTTCACCACATTATTTTCTTCCCACGTGGAGACGTCTCATTGGCTGATGCCTTGCCTCCAACCTCCATCCATGCAGGATTGATGGGAGCTGCTGATGCCTCCTCTTTCGCCTTTAAGATTTATGTGCCCACGCTACTGGCCATCAATCACAGGGACGCTGGTCGGTGGACGAAGCTGAGAGCAACGCGATTCATTGGGCCGGTTTGGGTTCTACTAATGAAGCTCACATACAGGGACTGGGTGGAGGAGCAGCAACAGCGAGAGGGAATTTAGATTTCCTTTATAGAGAAGAAACTTGCAAACAAAAATACAGTAACATGGAGATTTTACATCTTTTTACATCTAGTGTGCAACCTGCTGCTTTTTGGCCAAAAAGGTGAAGAAAATAAACAAAAAATGATTTGAGGAAAATATTTTAACTGAATTAAATACAGTAATTAAAACTGAAACACCGTTAGCCAACTGCATCTGTATTGTTCATTATCAAAACTAACTAAAATGTGCTGAAAATACAGATATAATACACTTCGTTTACACATTTTTGGTCACAACACAAGCCCGAACAAATGCAACAGTAGGGAGAAAATTGCAAAGTCTTACACAGGATTTGTGTAAGTATGAACTTAAGGGAGAGAAAAGAGAGTTAAAATTACAGAAAACATGTGGAATAAGGCCAAAAATCTGAGAGACCACTTAAAAGGTGCTCAGGGGAGGGCTAATTGAAAATACCTCAACAAGCTAGCTTCTCTGATGCAGCTGCAATGAGAGGGAGGCCACATCAAGGCCGCTTTAGGTAGGACATAATGGAGCACTTTCACCGTTCCACAGAAGCACCAAAGCAGGAGGACACTAACCATTAACTGAAGATCCATCCCAGTATGTGGCTGAAATTTAGTCCACATCATCATCATGTTCATATTTTTCCTGTGTTTCCAGCATGACACATATTCTAGACTTAAGGCAGTTGGACTTTTTTTGCTGGCTTTTTGAAAAAAAAAAAAAAAAAAAAAAAAAAAAAAAATATATATATATATATATATATATATATATATATATATATATATATATATATATATATATATATATATATATATATATATATATATATATATATATATATATATATACACATACATACATACACACACACACACACACACACCCATGTGGGATAGAGCGCCTAGAGGACTAGCTTTAGACAACAGGGTGTTAAAGGCTGCAAAAGGCTTAAGACTTGGACAGACCATTAACATACAGCCAGAGCCCCACAAATATGTTTTATCCTTTCTAATAGCCCAGTTAAGCCTAAATCAAATAAAGAATATTTTTCAAAACCAGAACTCTGATGTTCAATAACACTCTTGATCCAATCTTACTGATCTGAGGGGGTTAAATACAAACCTGTAAGATTCAAATTTGTTAAAAAGAATTTTCAAAACCAAACATTTCCTTCCAGTCACAGTCTTGCACTTCTTGTTGTCAACAGTATCTCATGGGGTGAAAAAGAATTTAAAAAATCAAAATTGAACTTAAAAACAACTCAAACCGTTTTTTATCTCAGGAGAAGGAAATAATATGTTCTTTTCCTACGGTTTGTCTCATTGCATTACTGCTCTTACACAAAATACTTAGAAACAGTAAATAGTTGGGGTCTGGGTTAATGACATTTTGAAGGGCAGCTTATTAAAAGTTTTTTTTAGCAATATCAATAAAACAAACTACCCTTATAGATGACATTTTATATGATTAGGTGCAGCAAATAAAAATATAAACAGGACAGACAATCACTACGAGACCACAACTAGATAAAGAGACAAAAAAATCTAAATAAACAAATAAGAAAGAAAACAGATGAGTAAAAAGAAAGTTTTGACACAAAGTTAAAAGATAAGAATTTAAGAACCAAAACGCAAACAGCAATCTTCCCCCGTCTGATAACACTTCGGTTTAGAAAGGAATTGGCAGCCAAAAGGAGATATTTCAACTTCTGCAAACCACATTTAAAGGATGCAAACGATGTTTCCAAGTGGTAAGTAGCCAAACCTTCAACCAATACATGCCTGTCACCAGTGTGTGTTTGCATTGCTTTGACTTCAAGACTACTTGGAACAAAAATGTTCCCCAAGATAAATGACCACCCTGACAGCTGCAATATTTCTGCACGGTATTTCTAGGTCTGTGAAGGACAAAACTTGTGAGATAAATAAATAAGAATTACAAATAAAAAGGACTGTAAGTGATAAAAGCAGATATTAAAAAACTGTATACTTGCTAACAGGCCAGGAGAAAAGGAAAGGCCCTAGCTCCTGTGGTAAGTGTCCTTTACAACAGCAAAACTGCAGCGTTATGGCATTTCATCACAGAGAGGGGTTGCAAAACAGCATGCCCAAGCCTCATCGCTCTTTTCCTCCCATTTCTATTTCCTGTGCTTGGCCCAACACCACATCCATCCTGCATCCCACCCCACCCAGCAAGAGCAGATACTGCCCGACTTGCAGCACAAAGCCAACCCAGGCTCGTGCTCGTTGCAGAGACGGCGCCTAATAGGCACCAGAACGCGAAAACTTAAAAAGGATCAGGCTATTTTACAACACAATGATGTGAACCACCTGAGCTGAGCGATGGATATGAGGCACTTCTATTCTCTGTAGGATCACCAAGAGGTTATGTATGATTATGATGCAGAAACCATTAAAGAGAAAGGTGTCAGGTTGCTCAGTCCTCTCCAAAGTGCTTTTAATTGTGTCTGTGTTCTATATATGGGCATAAACAAAGGTTGGAGACAAAGGTCTGACAACAGACAAAAACAACAACTGTGGGGACAGAAATGAAAGCTAAGGTCTGGGAAATGTTATATAGTGGCCAAGCAAACAGCTAGAGCCATGGAAGTGCCAGATCACCCAACAGAAGAGCCGCATTTTCATAAGAGCCTATATCTACATTTTCTATGAAATCCATCTAAAACTGCACCTCAACACTGTGTTGTTCTTTTATGAAAAAGATTTTATATCAAAATAACAATCAGAAGCCTTTAAAGAGGATATATCTAACTAATTGGGGTTCTTATTATGAAAAATTCAAGTATTACTTTCTAAATGTTATATTGTGCCAAAAACTAATAACAATCACATTAAATATGAAAGTAGAGAGATACATAGATTGTGGTGCATCCAATGAAAGACACTGTGTCATGTTAAAATGTTTGATTACTATAAGAGGAACGGGACGAATTTATTATCTATACGTGTTTCACCTGCATATGTGTGAGGAGTATATAACACACAAACACAAAGATGATCATAGATCATTCTAATTGCAGTTTTCTATCGAAATTAACCATCTATGCCTCTTTTCCCAGTGAAACGGAAGAGAAAGTGAGCAAGAAAAGAAAAACAAGCAAGAACCATGTGGAAAAGAGAGTCTACATCTATGTAGCTTTTACCAGCAGGAGAGCCAATTCATTAAAGTCATGTTAGTTAAAGGTATAGTGTAGGATGTTCTTTTTCCAGGTGGATCATCAAAATAAGTGGTCCTCCCAATTGTCAATCATTCTGGGGATATGTTTACGTAAGGCCGTCCTACGTGCTCGTCCCCAGTTTGCTTTTTCTGTGCATGCGCAGTTTTAAACCTAAATATGTGGTGAGCTACAGTTTCAGCCAGATATTGAGGCTCACCTTTCTCACAGAGGTTCTTTGAAAATGGGGTGAGTCTGACATAGTGGAAAAATGTCAAATCTTCTGTTGTAAAGTAAGCTTGTATGAGTGATGCAAACAGCAACTTTGAAACAGAGCGTGCACGAAGAGAAATGAGCTCCTGCATGCTCTTGCACGTGTTTAATAGGCGTTCCCTTTCCGGACCGGGTACGGAGTTGGGCATGTGCATTTTTTCTTTAAGTGGAGAAGGCGGGTCTTTTCAAAAACTCTGCAAAATCTTCCACCATATTTATTTTACAGTAATGTAAGAAACAGGGCAGTGTAGTCCAGCAGAGACTAGCTCTGTTGCAACAGTAATCAAGTTGCTTTTATTATTTCCAGAAGTCATTTCAGCAGGTGAACTTATGCTCCTTCCAGCCTTATCTCAGGAGAGATTTTCCATGAGTTTCATCGTTATATCAGCACATTTGTCAAAGGTGATAGGGATCGATTTCCCTTCCTCTCGTCAGAAAGAATGGACCAAAGTAAAGCCAGTTTCTCTTTGTGATTTAATCACTAGAGCCGTCTAAAGCTAAAACCTTTCTTATACAATAGTTATGTTTAAACTACATGTCACCCACCTCTCATCTGAATTATATATCGTTCTGTTACTCATCACCTGACAGAGTTCAACTTGTGCAGACAGCTGTAGTAGTTCTTTCAAGCTTATTGATGAGGCACCAGCGTACTCCTCTTGATCATTTATAATTCATTTAGTACAGCCCCAAACTGGGGCTTTAAAATGTCCTACAAACGTATAGATAGCAATGAGACAACATAGGTAATTCGCGGTTTAGTACTTTATAATCTGGCTTATAATTTCAGGAAAAAAATAAGGGGTCAGACATAAATTTCACCCAAAAGTTATGGTATAAATCCTTAAAAAATGTTCTAAAACCAGCTAATCTCAAACAAAGAACCTTAATTCGACACGGTCACTCAACCTGCAAAGCCTCTGCAGACTTACCTTTGTTGTTATAGACATCTAGATAGTTTGGAGCTGAGAAGATGGTGATGAGGGAAGGGAAGCCAGTGGTCTGACTCTTTCTGTACATGCGATATCTGTTGAAATGTCAGAAAGAAAAGCGTTGAGTTACTTTCAGGTCAAATAGGGCCGCCATGATGGGATCAGTGTTGACGTTTTTATGGCTCTTTTGTTTTCACTTTGGGTCTGCGTTTGTTTCAAACTGATGTCTGTGGACACCTCTCAGGAGAGCAGATCCCAGTGTTGCGAATCAAACAAGGCAGAAGTAATGGGATATAGCTGTAAAGTGCAGAGTTTCTGGATAAACTGTCAATATCCGAGTCCAGCTGCTGCATGAGGTTTCCAACATGCTCCATGTGTCCGTAAATGTTTTCTTGTTTATGTTTTGGCGGACATAAATGATGCAGACTAGTACAATTAGAATTGTGGCCAGAGTCTCATCTGGGATGCAGGGAGGTGTCCCATGTGACTGCACAGTGGGAGTAAAATGGTAAACAACTAGCTGGGGAGGAGTCTTCCCTCCTTCTGTGTATGGTAAAAAAATAGAGAAAATCACAAAAACACATCCAATAACCTGCCTCTTTAGTTCGTTTCAATCTTTCTTTGAAGAATTCATCATCTTAAAATCGAGGGAAAACCTTCCCGTCCAGCTGGGTCTCCTTTTCACCATGTTGCAGCTGTAACTGCGAGTTCCCGTCAACCTTAACTTTTTGAATCAGAGCTCAGCGATGCCTGCATGACTCATCCGTGTTGCATCACATGTGGCCTGCTCGCTCTCCAGAGCTGGCTTCATTTTTTATTTCTCGGATTAACCCAAAGTTCACACTGCGCCCATCCTGCTCCCCAGACAGGCTTAAAGAAACCTCCTGAGACTTTTCATTTCATTCCCTGCCCTCAGCCACTCGGCTATGTGACAGTGTGATGTGAAAAGACAAAGAAAGCAATAACACTCACCCAGCGTCCTGTGCTTCATGGGCCCGGATGATGGATAATAAGTTATTGTGTTGTAGAAAGTCACAGACAGCAGGGTAGCTGTTGGAGAAAAGCTCACTTAAGAAAAGTCCCAGAAAGCCTTAAGAAGGACGATCAATAGCAAAAACTAAATAAGGCAAAAGGTATTATTGATTCAGCTCACATTGGACAAACACTGAGTTAAGGCTAAATTTATTCTAAGACTCACTGCAGCTCCTATGGAGACATTTAAGTCTGGACTTTCCAGTAATAAAATGTTTCATATAGAAAAACCTCTATTACTGATGTATAAAAAGCCTTCAAAGAAATTAATCTTTCACTGCTGAAGCATATATTTTTTTTGTTTTCTTTATTTAGTCCTTTCTGCCAATATTTCATAAGGTTAGAGCAAATAGAGGGGTATTTGACCATTTGGCTAGCTACAGTAGTCAGTTTGATATGAAAAAGAAACTATTTTAAAGTGTTTCTACTGCTTTAAAAGTTGCTTTCCTTGATCCTAAATGGCTATCTGGCTGGGAGAGAGGTGAGCTTTAGCTGAACGGCTACCGTTACAGAGTTACAGGCAGGAAGCTGCAGCACCCAATACAGTCTCAATGTTAAAGGGGAACTTCGTTTTTTTTACATTGGCCCCTTGATTTTCCGTTATTACATCATGTTCTACTCACCCATATGAGTTTTGTGTTATTTGGAGCCCTTCTGAAGATATTCCGTTAGGTTATATCCAAGTAACGTCTTCCTATGGGCAACGAGTTGAAGGCACAGACTAAACTGTTCATAATTTATTCTTAATGGTATGCCAGCATTCATGACATGTAGGCGAATCACTGTCCCCTAGACATCCGCGGTTATGTTTTTTTATATATATATCTTTTAAAAACAAAGCGGAGTGTGTATGACGTCATCCGTGCATGCGGACTGGAGTTGTGACAGGCAGCCAGGCCACAGGCGGCTACGCTCTACCCATTCTATTCATTCAGCTAGCTAATCTGAATCGTTCCATTCCATTTCGAGAGCGAGATCATCTGTGGTAGTAGCACTAGACATCTTCCAGGCATGTGAGGAAAACTAGCAGCAGTTCAGCAAACCGAATGAAGGAATGGTAGCCACCGTGCACGGACGACGTCATACACACTCCGCTTTGTTTTAAAAATATATTAATATAAAATATATAACCGCGGTTGTCTGGGGGACAGTGATTCGCCTACATGTGATGAATGCTGGTGTACCATAAATGATAAATTATGAACAGTTCTGTTTGTGCCTTCAACTCGCTGCCAATAGGAAGACGTTACTTGGATATAACCTAACGGAATATCTTCAGAACAGCTCCAAATGACACAAAACTTTTATGGGTGAGAAGAACATGATGTAATAATGTAAAATCAAGGGCCAAATGTAAAAAAAAGTTCCCCTTTAAGGATACAGAAACTTGAATTGTGTTTGAAACTCTTTCAGTTGCTTCAGTAAATTCAAAAATTGAACCATGCTTGTCATTTCACTAAAGATTTCATCTGTCAAATTTGGCAGTTCTGTGAGTAAGAAGGCTCTTCTTAATTACAGTAACACGATGTACAGGAAGTGGCGGCCTAGTGGTTATATATATATTGTGTTACACTCATGTTAAAAGTTTGGAACAGTTATTTGAGGTGTTGATGACCATCAAAGGTTTCAATTTCCAAATGTTTCATCTTAAAATGCAGCATAACGTTTGGGCAGGATAGTAAAAATATACATCAGGAATAAGAAAGGAAGAAAATGATTCATTTCATTTTGACAATAGTTCTCGTCACATTTAAGGGCTATAAGTGAATTTATTTATTTTAATATATATAAACATATTTTAAACAGCTGCTGTTGTTGCTTTTGAATTGTTTTTATTACTAAATGAACGGAGTTAGGGGATAGTTTTTATTATTTCAACTAAAGTTATTTATTTTCCCAATAATGTTTTGTAATACAAGCTTATGAGGAAAAAAAAATAAAAATACTCCAGCCTCTATTTTCCTTTGGTTGTTGGTCACAGGTGAGAGCAAGCAGGTTGATGCTTTGTTCAGATGTTCAGATTCATGAGAAAGAATTGAAACCCTTTTTCTTCTTTTTTTCCCTATTCTTTTTAATAACATTGAGGTTGGGTCGTTTTTTTTCTGTCAGACTTGCTGGCCCAGATCTTTGTCCCATTTCAAACAGATTTTTGTGCCTACTTGTCCTGCTGACTGACCACAACTACTCCACACTGATGCAGACTTTCTCACTTTAGGGAGCAGATTAACAGTGAGGAAAATTGTGTAGTGTGCAGAGGTGGGTAAAGTTGTACTAAACTGAAAATAACACTACTACAGAAAATTTTAACACCAGTAAGAGGGAGAAAGCAGAGAAATAAGTAGTTACTACTCATCATTAGAGCTGATTTAACATTTTACAAATGATGCAAACTTACACAGCCAGTGAAGTTATATACAAACTGCAGTTCCAATGAATAGGAAAAAGAATGCAATAATTACAAAAGAACAAAAAAAAACACTTTTTAGACTTTATTTTTGCTTAAATCTTATGAAATCAACACCTAATTTATGTTGTGCATATAGGTTACAATATTGTGTAACCTTGTGTATCCCTTTGTGAATTTTGCCTTACCATGTGTACCCCCCTCAGTAAAAGGTTTAGATGATTGTCCAAAAGTGGAACATGCAATAACCGAATATAAAATAAAGACTACTTTACTTAAACTTGAGCATTTAATTCTTATGCTACGTTCAGACCGCATGCTGCAGAAGCAGCTGGTTTACATGCAAAGTCTAAGGTTTATGTGCACCTAGGCGAATCAAGAGGGTCCTGCAGCGCGTTTTGAGCAGCAGGAGCAGCAGATCTTACAGCATAGAAGCAGGTGAAGCGGTGCCTAATAAGCTTTAGAGTATCTGCACAAGCAGCAGCTGCTGAAGTTGGAAAAATGTGCTGCTTGACGTCCCACATCAACCAATGAGAGAAGCTCACCTGGGAGCTGGCAGGGAGACAGACACAACACTGCTGATGCAGATCGCTATGATCACTCCTCTGAAACTTTTTATTAACGCCTAAATTAACTAAAAATGTCAAAATATGAGCACTTTTATTATTCTGGTGCCTGCAGTTTGGATTACGCACATGAAAAACGCCTTCCAGCCGCCGCACTGCGTATAGTAGCGGAAAATAGCTTATTAGCGAAAATAATACTTGAAGGTAGGATCTTAATCTTGATGAATTAAGTGCACAGATTATATTTTCAGGTGGACTTTATCACTTTAAAACATATTAAAACTACTTTTTACCCAATTATAACAGCAAATATAGCAAAACCGCTCTGTGTCTTTGAACACAGGAGCATCAGACGCATCTGGACAAACTTTACTGGACGCGCTTCAGGAGCGTCAAAGCTGCACTTGACGTGCATCGGACCTTAATGTGTACACGTTTCAAACAAGAAGAAGCAGAAGCTTTTTTGCTGCTTCCAGCGATTGCGGTCTGAAAATAGCATTAGGCATTTTGTTCTTTTTATCTCAAAAAAACAAAACAAAACAAAACATAAATAAGTTGCCTGGACGTCAGTACGGAATAGAAATAAATAAAAAATGTATACTATAAAGTTGTGTTTATAAAACTGGAACCCCTCTGAGTAACTCCCCAATAACCACATTTAATCGTGATGAATTGGGAACAAAATACAGAATAAAAAACTATTAGATTTCCTTTTTTTTTTTCCCCCCATCAAGACACCTGAGCTGCTTCGATGAGCTCTGATAGCTAAGTGTGAAAATCAACAGATACCAGGCTCTTCCTCTGCTTGCTTTTCATGTGTGTCACAGCTGAAGGTGAACTCAAAGAAAAAATAACTTTTTTGGTTGACAAAAACTTTAATTTTTCCAATTCTATTTTATTTTACTACCTAAAAAATAAAATATTTTCACGTACCTCCTTGCAATGCACTCGCGGACCCCAGGAGTGGGAAATCGGGAATCACTGGGGTAACTTACCGTAATTTTCGGACTATAAGCCGCGACTTTTTCCCCATTTTCCGACCCTTTTTTTCGACCTTGCGGCTTATATAACAATGCGGCTTATCTATGGACTTTTACAGCTAACGGCCACTAGGGTAATACGGGACCTAAATCTATGGATTTTACCATCCACCATGTTGACGTAACATTTGCTTCAACACACAAGTAGCCATGCGCGTGGGAATGCGGACGTCCTCCGGAAGCAGACTCCAAGAAAGACGGACATTGCGAGTGCAAGACAGTTTGTTTGACACCCTCATTATGGAAAACAGACATTGAAACGTAACCTTGGAATCAACGAGTCAATGGTGAGACGTTGGAGATGCCAGCAGTAAGAATTGTCTCAATTCAATTGTGTTGAAATGTTAATAAACAGGAGCTTCCCCAAACAGTTGCCTCTTTCCCAAAAATCCTCTCTGTGCACGAACCTATATGGTAATTAAACCTGCGGCTTATAGTCCAGTGTGGCTTGTATGTGTACAAATCATGCAATTTAGCTTCTGTGGCTTATATTCAGGTGCGGCTTATAGTCTGAAGATTACGGTACTTCAAGTAACAAGATACAGAGCATACACTAGACCTCCAAAAGGCAAGGCAAACTTCAGCAGTGAACCCAATGAAACCAGAGTACAAAACTAAATCCCACCTAGATCAAAATAGTAGGTGTGTATCTCTATGAGGCATTTTAGTTTAAAACAAACATTGTAATCATTGAGTGAAGTCAATCACGATAGGTAACAAAGCAGCAAAACTGCTACCAATTTACTTAAGTACATGTAACTGAGAATATGTAAATAGTTACTACCCACCTCTGGTGTTGTTCCCTCTGTTTTAGTCTTATTTGACCAAGGAACAGATTTCAAAATTGGCTAAACTCCTTGAAGACCTCAGCAAACTTCACCAGAATAATTTTGTAGCAGTGTGACAAAACATACATTCCTTCTGACATGCTTCCTGGAAACCGTTTGGTACTGTATGTAGAAGATGACTCCTAGTCATGAAAACTTGGTTATCTAAAGCTGCTGCAAA